ACATGGTTTTGTCCTGCCTCTGTGATCGGCCCACGTTTGGCCAAGCGATGATGCCGCATGATGGCGCCATCATGTGCCATTACGTCACGTAACGTCTTCATGACTTCAGTATATTTGTCACTTTGTGACGTCATCACATTACGACAATTTTTTTTGCATCACTCGTGTTGACGCGCCGAAGATCGATTTGCATGTTTGGCGAGCTATCTAACGCTTTCGCCTCAAAAGGGTTCGTGACTGTTCAGTAGTTGCCCCGCCGCGGTGGTCTAGTGGATAAGGTACTCGGCTGCTGACCCGCAGGTCGCGGGCTCGAATCCTGGCTGCGGCGGCTGCATTTCCGATGGAGGCGGAAATGTTGTAGGCCCGTGTGCTCAGATTTGGGTGCACGTTAAAGAACCCCAGGTGGTCGAAATTTCTGGAGCCCTCCACTACGGTGTTTCTCATAAACATATGGTAGTTTCGGGACGTTAAACATTATATATCAGTGGTGTTCTCATTACTTACTCGACTATTGTGATTAACAGAAGTTGGACTAGTTTAAAACATTTTTTTTGTGAGGCACTCGGTGCGGTTACCGTGTGTCGAAACATAACAGCGGAACGGAGCCTTTATAATTCACAATTGGTGTCCTGATCTGAGTCATGCTAGAGGTCAATATCGATAGGGTTCTGGCATTTCAACGCCAAGGTTCCTTCAGAAGTGAGTGATATGTGAGATATAGAAAATGTTTACTTTCAAACGGCCACGTTCAAAATCATCCCCCCCCCCCTTGTCTTCAACCTTGTTCGATTCCCAGACAAAGTTTGTGACGACAGCGCGAGGTGAGCTTGAGGGCCCTGATCTAGATCACGAGAATCACACCTGGTTCTGAAGATAATGTGCCCTGTAAGGCGTGTACCGTGACAGAGTACTAAAGCTAGAACAAAAGTCGTTTGCGGTTCCGGCTGCACCACAGTTTGCACGGAAGCCGACGGTAAGCACCACGCATCTGCGATGGCAGCGGGGCCGCAGAAGCCCTCCGTGAAGCAGTCGAGTTTTCCGCTTGCGCTGTGGCAATTATACAGACGTGGTCGACTGGCCGGGACTACGTCCCGAGCTGGAGGACAATAGCGCTACATTCATCGCAAGCCACTAATTAGCCCGCACGGGACATTGCTAGCTAGATTTAGTTAGAGATAAACCGAGATGTACTAATTATGACTTATGCGATTCAGAGTGTGCTTACTGAGAAATGGTTCGACTCTAAAGAGAAATGCATATTTTTATTCTTCCTTTTTAGGCTCTTCTAAAACTTTCCATGAACACGAATAACTAACTAAAATTCTTTCCGTTCGTAAAGACTAAACGTGACATGTATAGTTTTTACGTAATGTCCACTACAACAATGACGCCCCAGCGCCCGTTCATGGCAAGCTCTTCCACGTACGCCAAATGAATAAAAAATAAATAGGATAAGAAGGAGGAAGAACAACACGAGAGAAGGCAGGGAGGTTTACCAGGCACATGCCCGCTTTGCTAGCCTACGCTGGGGGAACGGGAACGGGGAGTATAAAGAAAAATATCGTCAATGTGAAGTACTTTCTTTCATTCGCATGCGAAATTGTCATCTGCGCCTGTCTGACTCTGTGAATGCAATATGTAGATTTATAGGTGTTGATACAGTGAATTTGTTAGAACTGCCTTAACCTAAACTGGAATTCTTTTTTTCTATGGTTGTTTCTTTCCTTTTTCCTTTCTTCCTTCCTTTCTTTCTTTTTTTTTATAGAATCGTTGTAATGCGAGAAATTTTACGGTTAGTGCAATATACGTATCCTACGGCTTTCATTCGCATTCTTCTTACCACTGATGTTTATTTTTTAACCATGCGAGGCGCCATTGGTATGGTAAGGCTCATTCAGTTCGTCTTGCGATGTGAATATCTGCAGGTCAGTGAACTTAGAAAACATCACCTGGACATTGTTCAGCGCATGTCTTGGCAATTATATTGTGCATTGCCTTGTTCTGGTGTTTTGCATTGTGCCCGCGTATTCATTTATTTCTGATTCATTGAAAACGGTACAAAGTGGTTGTCGGTGAATAAAAAATGGAAGTAGGAATGGATTCAGAGACTCAATGCCTCAAAAACAGCAATTCGGTATTTTATCAGTTGCCAGCGGCGTGAGGCAAGATTTATGAAATCCCCGAAGAAGTTTTTTAGCAAACGTAGCCATATTGTGCTATGTGTACCTATTTTTTTGCCAGTACGTTGAAAATCACGCATGTATTTATTTATTTATTTATTTATTTATTTATTTATTTATTTATTTATTGACATGTACCCTACAGACCTCGCCGAGGCATTGTGTAAGGGGGGTGGATACAAACACGAAAAAAATTGAGTTAGCATCAAAAATAAGACCAGTACACAAAGAGAAATATATAATAACATAAAAAAACAAGGCCATTACAGCAAAGTATGTCTAAGTACAAAACTAGTCATATGCATGCAAGATGAATAGGGAAGCTTGATAAGATACTGGAAATATTTGAGAAGATGCTCACGAAATGTATCGTGATTACGCGACACCTTACGTGCTGATATATATATATATATATATATATATATATATATATATATATATATATATATATATATATATATATATATATATATATATATATATATATATATATATATATATATATATATATATATATATATATATATATATATATATATATATATATATACCCCATTATCAGCCTGTTTACGTCCACTGCAGGACAAAGGCCTCTCCCATGTTCTCATGTTCTGCCACTCAACTCGGTCGTGCCTGCTGCTGCCAGTTTATACCCACAAACTTCTTAATCTAATCCGCCCACCTAACCTTTTGTCTACCCCTAACCCGCTTGACTTCTCTGGGAGTCCAGTCAGTTACCCTTAAGGACCAGCGGACCTACGGAGCAGAGTCTCCACGTCTCTGCTCCGTAGCTAAGTACCGGCAAGACGGAGCTGTAATATACCTTCCTCTTGAGGGATAGTGGCAATCTCCCTATCAAGATTTGAGAGTGCTTGCCAAACGTGCTCTACCCGATTCTTATTCTTGAAGTTGCTTCAATCTTGTGACTCGGCTCCACAGTTATTACATTTCCTAAGTAGACAAAGTATTTTACAACTTCTAGTGCGCTTTTTCTGGTCTCGAAGCGCTGTTTTCTTCCGAGGTTGTTGTACATTACTTTCGTTTTCTGCAGATTAATTTTAAGACCTACCTTTCTGCTCTTCTCTAACTCCGTAATCATGAGTTGCAATTCGTCCCCTGAGTTACTCAGCAATGCGATGTTATTGGCGAAACGAAGGTTACTAAGGTACTCTCTATGACTCGTATACCTACCTGTTCCCACTATAGGCCTCTGAAAACCTCCTGTAAACACGTGGTAAATAGCATTGGGCAGATTGTGTCCCCCTGCCTTACACCCTTCTTGATTCGTATTCTGTTGCTTTTTTTAAGAAGCACCATGGAAGCGGTTGATCCCCTGTAGACTTCTTCCAGGATGTTTATATATGCTTCGTCAACGCCCTGATTCCGCAGTGTCTGTATGACTGCTGATATTTCTACTGAATCAAACGCCTTCTCGTAATTTATGAAAACTATGTATATTGGTTGGCTGTGTTTGAGCATTTCTCTATAACCTGATTGATCGTATGAATGTGGTTGATTGTTGAGTAGCCTGTTCGAAATCCTGCTGGTTCATTTGGTTGATTGAATTCTAATGTTGCCTTAATTCTGTTAGCAATTACCTTTGTAAATAGCTTGTATACGACAGAGAGCAAGCTGATCGGCCTGTAATTCTTCAAGAACTTGTCATCTCCTTTCTTATGTATTAAGATGATGTTAGCATTATTCTAAGATTCTGGTACTCTTCTCGTCAGGATACACTTCGTGAAATGAATGGCTAGTTTTCTAACAGAATCTGTCCTCCATCTTTCAGCAGATCTGATGTTACCTGATCCTCACCATCAGCTTTGCCTCTTTGCATGCTTTCTTAGGCTTTTCCGATTTCTTCTATTATTACTGATGGAGTGACATCTGCGTTACTGTTAGTTCTTATAGTAAGGTCATGGTTGTTCCGGCTACTATACAGGTCTTTGTAAAACTCCTCCACTATTTTAGCTATCTTATCCACATTGTTAGTTATTTTGCCTTCTCTGTCTCTTAGTGCATACGTATGATTTTTGCCCGTCCCAAGTTTCCCCTTGACTGCTTTGACACTCCCTCCGTTCTTCAGAGTGTGTTCAAGTCTCTCCATGTTATACCTTCTTACATCGGATACCTTACGCTTATTAATCAACTTCGAAAGCCCTGCCAACTCTATTTTGTCTGTTGTACTTGAGACTTTCATGCTTTGACGCTTCTTATTCAGGTTCTTTGTTTCCTGGGACAGCTTGCCAGTGTCTTGTATAACTACCGTACCTCCAACTTCCACTGTAACTTCCACTAGATATATATATATATATATATATATATATATATATATATATATATGTGTGTGTGTGTGTGTGTGTGTGTGCGTGCGTGCGTGTGTGTGTGTGTGTGTGTGTGCGTGCGTGTGTGTGTGTGTGTGTGTGTGTGTGTGTGTGTGTGTGTGTGTGTGTGTGTGTGTGTGTGTGTGTGTGTGTGTGTGTGTGTGTGTGTGTGTGTGTGTGTGTGTAATGTCATGACCAAGGCAGACACTGGAGCTCGGGTGCGCGGGCAGCTAAGCGAAGCTGAGGAAGAAAAAAAACAGAATAGCCATCCCAGGATCAGGTGCTGTCTCTGTTTCTCTGAATTACAATGGCGCAGTCAGACAACGCAACCTTCCAGCTGAAGCCATCTGCATCCGTGGGTGATCGGTAGCCAGGTCTCTCCATCTAAGGAACGCCTTCCACGCTTTCTTCCTCATGGACATCTCGACCGTATACGACTGCTGATAGGACCTACACCACCATTCCAGGATGATGTCGGAGCCTCCTTGGGGGCACAATGCAGGTTTACCCCATCGACGTCAAGCCGGCGGACAGCCTCCTGTTAGCCGGGGACGATTTTCATGCTTCCCGCGGCGTCAACTTCTCGCTCAGGACGTCGACACCTGAGCTGCTGAAGGGTGCTATCGCAGCTCCATGGAACAAGCATCCCGTTTCAGTGAGTACAGACTTCATCTCCTACTCCTAGAACATCATCATGGGCTCCGCGTGTGAATCGCCGGATATCGCTGTCCTCCTGCGGCGCACCATCGTGCGACTCTGTGCCACGATCAATGCCTTAGCGGCGTCGAAGTCTGCGCTGTTTCATACCATCCTGCCGACATTAAGCACCGTCGACGCCATGCTGGACGTATAGCCGCCTCACACGACCTGGTGTACAGCCCACCCGAACAACGCAGAGATCTCCGAGGTGCCCTTATGCAACTGTTAGATCAGCTGAGCTGCTTCGCGTCAGCAATCCCTGCATTTTCGTCTGTCGTCCAACCATCGCCAGCCTACCAGAATTCCACGGGTTCAAGGATGACGCGAACATCTGGGTGGCACTCGTCAACGCGATAGCAGTGCGTGAGGCATAGACGGATCTTCAGAAAGGGACCGTGGCCATAAGCCACCTCTGGGGAGATGCAGAGGCGTTGCACGGGTATGAAGGTGTGACGCAGCAGTCTTTGGCGGAGTGGAGCTCCAAACTCATTTAGTAACCTTAGGCCAGATTCCCGGTGCCTTGAGCCAGTCAGAGACTTGCACCGAGGACGGAGCTCAGTATTGCTACCACCTCGAGGCAGCGATGGTTCGTTGCAGCTCATCGACATAATACACCGAGGAGTTTCCTGTCGCTGATCCTGACCAGAGTAGCCGCAGTACACCTCTGCAGGCCCCGGAGTCTGCATCGGTATTCGACCCGATAATACCACCACTAAAGCCTCCTCAGGAAATACTGCTCTCGCACTCGTCATTGTCTGAGCAAATGCAGGCGCTCACCCCTATCGTGCCAGACACAATTGAACCTTACCAAATCACGATTGTCAGTACCACAATGTGCTCTTCACCGCTTCACAAGGCAGGCCTTTCCAAGGATGCGAACAATATGAGCTCTGACCTGACACAGCCATATTCGCAGGCGCCTCAGACATTCATTTTCGAAGGCACACAGACGCTCAGCCGCGCAGACGCTTGGTTCGCAAGGGATGTCCCCTTCGAGAAAACGGATTCCTAGCCAGGCTGAAGTTAAGCCACTGAGAACTTTTTGAGGACCAGCTCTCTTGCTGTTTCCTCCCAGGACACAGCGGGTGCACGTGACACTTCGCCAGAAGCCACCGGCTCAACCACGTCAGTTCTACTGTGGTATTGCCGTCTGACCATGAGCTGCGTCGCATCCCATTTCGAGAAACGGCCCCAGCGTTCACAGAGATGCCTCACCAATCATCCGGCTGCAGCTCGGCCCATCAGTGGGGGTGGGGCAGACACCAGCATTTCAGGTCGGTCTGCGACCTTACCGAAAGTTTCAGGGCCTCCCGCCAGAACTGTCTTCTACGAGTTGTCAGAAAACTTGGACGAGTTCGACCCCAGTGATATAGTCTATTCCACCCACCAGAAAACACACTTCAAGCAGAGACAAGCAGAGACAAGCAGAGACATCTTCAAGCAGAGACATCTTCAAGCAGAGACATCTTCAAGCAGAGACATACCATGGCCCAGACCGACCAGCGTGATGCGGCCAGTGTCGTCCACCAAAGATGCTTCTCGCAGATCGTCACTCCATGTTTTAGTGTGGTCCGGCCCGACCACTACGATGGTGAGCCAAGCCTGCTCACCAGAAACATTGCCGTCAGCAGCACGCGCTTGCAGTCATAAACAAGGAAGACGCTGGGGCTCGGGCGCGCGAGCAGCTAAGCGATGCAGCGGAAATAAAAAAACAACAAAATAGAACAGCCGGCTCAGGATCGGTGTTGTCTCCATATATATATATATATATATATAAGTCAAGTAGATCCTCCAAGAGAACGGTAACAACGGAAGTGTTTAATTCGACAGTTTCGGCCAGAGTCTGGCCTTCATCAGGAGTCATGGTACATTCTGTTTGCGCTCACATTTATAGTATTTTGGGTAAAAAATGAGAGGGAAGGAACGAAAAAAAAAAAAAAGAAAGAAAGAAAGAGTTTGAAAAACGAGAGAGGAAAGGATATCCAGAAAGTTCCAGGTTCCACTGTGCTTCGCGAGTGGCGTCGTCAGTGTGTATTTTCTTAGTATTGCGTTCAGTGCAGTTTGGTGGCGGTCCCTTTATTGTAGACGGGGCCTGGCTAAGGTAAGGGCTTGCGTGTCGCGAAAACTGCTTTTTTTATTATTATTTTTATTTTTTATTTTTTAAAGACCGTCACTAATTCGGCGTCGGGGACAGCGTTCCGAGGCTCCAGGAAGTCGGCGCGGGAGAAAATGTTTCTTAAGGCGCTGTCTGTCGTTTTGAATGCTATTTTGCTCTGCGAATCCGCGTTTGGGGGTTTTAATTGTGTATGGGGTGGCCCTTCTATATGTCGGGCTTTGTTGTCGAAATGCGGGAAGGGTTTCCAAACTGCGAGAAAGGACGTTTGAAGTGATTGCTATTTTGTACTGGGAAACCGCGTTCGGGGCGTTTAGTTGTGTATGTGGATGTCGGGCTTTGTTGCCAAAATCGGGGAAGGGTTGCCAAAAGGCGAGAAGGGGCGTTTGAAGTGATTGCATTTTGTTCTGGGAATCCACGTTCGGGGCTTTTAGTTGTGCATGCGGTGACCCTTCGACAAGTCGGGCTTACAACTATTGTTCGGTTATTCAGAGAAATAGAAATAGACGACAGTGGTTCACTGAAACACGCAAAGATATTTGTAGTTGTCCAGTCCTCGTCGCCGCCACAGTGCCGCGAAATCTTGAACTGTTATGATTACAATTATAAACTTACATATACACACATACACCCCCATACATATGCGCATATGCATAAGTACATATACACATATAAATGTATATGTATATATTATAGTGCTTTGATTGCTGCAAGTGTACCCGGACTTTCATTTATGCCTTTTTCGAGAGTGTTAAATCGGTGTATGAGGTATGATTCACGTTGTTCACGTTCCCGGTTTGATTTAAATCCTGTTTCTAAAAGTGTGACTGACAATTTGTCGAAGGAGTGGCCGGGAAGGTTAAGGTGTTTTGATAGAGGTAGATTCGGCGCTGATTTCGCGTGGGCTCTGTGATTATTGAAACGAATCCTAAAGGGTGTTTCCGTTTGTCCGATGTATTGCATGCCGCACACGTTGCATTCAAGTAGATATACCACATTAGGGGAATCGCATGTTAGATTTCCTCGTATGTTAATTGAAAAGTTGGATTGTGTGCTGCTTGCCTTGCTTGTATCTCGCATCGCTTTGCATACAAAACATCGAGGCTTCAGACAAGGTCGGCATGAACTGTCGGAAGTTGAAGTATTGATTTGGGAGTTTACAAGTGTGTCTTTGAGGTTGCGTGTTCGTCGGTAAACGACGCCAGGAGCCGATGGGAATGCACGTTTTAGACGTTCACTTTGTTCCAGTATGTTGTAATGTCGTTTAAGGATTTTGTTAACGTTGGGGAAATTCGTGCTGTATGTTAAACATAGGTGTGTCTGTTGCAGGTTGTGTTGTGGTGGCCACTTCATCAGAAGGTCATCACGCTGAAGTTTTCTAGCTTTTTGAATAGCGTCATCAATTACATGTGGAGGATATTTCTGTTTTTCGAGCACGAGTTTAAGCTTTTGTGAGCTCGCGTGGAAGTCAGTGTCTTTTGAGCAAATTCGCTTAAAGCGGTGGGCCTGGCCGTATGGAATGCTGTTTTTACAATGGCGTGGATGATCACTTTGGTAATGGAGGTACTGTTGTCGATCTGTTGGTTTGCGGTAGAGGGTTGTGGAAAGTTTATCATCTTCTATTATTATGGTAACGTCAAGGAAATTTACGGTTACTTGTGAGTAGGTGTGTGTGAAGTGTATGTTTGGATGCACAGTATTGTAAGTATCGATAAAGTTTAGCAGTTCATCCTCGCTGTGAGTCCAAATAAGAAAAATATCGTCAATGTACCGCCTGTATAGGAGTGGTTTCAAGGGAGTTTGGGACAAAAATTCGGTTTCTAGTTCTCCCATAAAATGTTAGCATAGTTTGGTGCGAGTTTGGTACCCATGGCGGTGCCGCTGATTTGTCGAAAGTACTCTTGGTTGAACTCGAATGAGTTCAGTTCTAATACAAGTCTTGTGAGGCTTGCGATGGCAGAGAAATCTGGGGTGTCAGGTTGTCTATGGTTTGTGTATGTGTTTTTTAATGCCGCTATGCCATCATCGTGGGGAATATTTGTATAAAGTGAAGACACATCAAGGGTAACTAAGTATGAGTGTTTCGGAATGCGCAGGTCTGCAATATCTCGAAGAAAATGTGAGGTGTCTTTTACGTACGACCCGAGAGTGCACGGAATGTGGCCTATTAATTTGTCTACGTACCCTGATATGGGCTCGGTTACTGTGCCTATACCTGAAATGATTGGTCGGCCTGGATTACCGGGTTTATGAATTTTTGGGAGTATGTAGAAGCGCCCTGGACGAGGGTGTACTGGCCGCATTAATTTGTGCTCACTGCGTGTTATTCTTCCCTCGTCCAACAGCTTCTTCAGTTCTGTTGCTACAATACGCGTGTATTTCTCTGTCGGGTCCCCTGGGAGGCGTTCGTAGAATTTTAAGTCGTTTAGTTGACGGTATGCTTCTTGTAGGTAGTCGGTTGTATTTAGGACTACAATTGCCCCTCCTTTGTCAGCGGGCTTTATTATTATATCAGTCCTAGATGTTAGGTTTTGCATACTCTTTTTCTCGGATTTTGTCATGTTTTCCCGCTTTCCCTTCTGTCTGTGATACTCCTGTAATATATCTTTCTGGACCGCGTTAATATATAAGTCCAGACACTTGTCTCGATGACTATTTGGTGTCCAATCGCTTGTTTGGTGGCGGGGAGTCTTTGGAATGTTAGACGGCTTGTCCAAGAAATATTCGTGCAGCCTCAATTTTCTAGCGAAGTTGTCGAGGTCTCGGAGTAAGTGAAACTCATCGAAAGATTTTCTAGTTGGGCAGAAGTTTAGTCCTTTAGATAATAGTTTTACTTCATCAGTTGACAAACTCGTGTCTGATAGGTTTATAATCGCAGCGTCGTAGTGAGTGTTGATAGGTGTTTTCTTGTTTGTGCCGTGAGTTTCCTCGTGGGTGAATGTGTTGTAGTCATACAGTGTAGCGTCTGGTAGTGTGGGGTTGGAAACATTGTCTCTTTTAAGTTTCTGTATTTTAGTTTTCTTGACCTCTTGGTATTTATTCTGTTCGAACTCTGTTAGTAGGGTGATTTCCTCGTTTGATAAGTGGTTGTTTGATAAGTGCTCAAAAGACACTGACTTCCACGCGAGCTCACAAAAGCTTAAACTCGTGCTCGAAAAACAGAAATATCCTCCACATGTAATTGATGACGCTATTCAAAAAGCTAGAAAACTTCAGCGTGATGACCTTCTGATGAAGTGGCCACCACAACACAACCTGCAACAGACACACCTATGTTTAACATACAGCACGAATTTCCCCAACGTTAACAAAATCCTTAAACGACATTACAACATACTGGAACAAAGTGAACGTCTAAAACGTGCATTCCCATCGGCTCCTGGCGTCGTTTACCGACGAACACGCAACCTCAAAGACACACTTGTAAACTCCCAAATCAATACTTCAACTTCCGACAGTTCATGCCGACCTTGTCTGAAGCCTCGATGTTTTGTATGCAAAGCGATGCGAGATACAAGCAAGGCAAGCAGCACACAATCCAACTTTTCAATTAACATACGAGGAAATCTAACATGCGATTCCCCTAATGTGGTATATCTACTTGAATGCAACGTGTGCGGCATGCAATACATCGGACAAACGGAAACACCCTTTAGGATTCGTTTCAATAATCACAGAGCCCACGCGAAATCAGCGCCGAATCTACCTCTATCAAAACACCTTAACCTTCCCGGCCACTCCTTCGACAAATTGTCAGTCACACTTTTAGAAACAGGATTTAAATCAAACCGGGAACGTGAACAACGTGAATCATACCTCATACACCGATTTAACACTCTCGAAAAAGGCATAAATGAAAGTCCGGGTACACTTGCAGCAATCAAAGCACTATAATATATACATATACATTTATATGTGTATATGTACTTATGCATATGCGCATATGTATGGGGGTGTATGTGTGTATATGTAAGTTTATAATTGTAATCATAACAGTTCAAGATTTCGCGGCACTGTGGCGGCGACGAGGACTGGACAACTACAAATATCTTTGCGTGTTTCAGTGAACCACTGTCGTCTATTTCTATTTCTCTGAATAACCGAACAATAGTTGTAAGCCCGACTTGTCGAAGGGTCACCGCATGCACAACTAAAAGCCCCGAACGTGGATTCCCAGAACAAAATGCAATCACTTCAAACGCCCCTTCTCGCCTTTTGGCAACCCTTCCCCGATTTTGGCAACAAAGCCCGACATCCACATACACAACTAAACGCCCCGAACGCGGTTTCCCAGTACAAAATAGCAATCACTTCAAACGTCCTTTCTCGCAGTTTGGAAACCCTTCCCGCATTTCGACAACAAAGCCCGACATATAGAAGGGCCACCCCATACACAATTAAAACCCCCAAACGCGGATTCGCAGAGCAAAATAGCATTCAAAACGACAGACAGCGCCTTAAGAAACATTTTCTCCCGC